CTATCCAATAAACTACATCTGTTGGCGTAGTCATCACATCAAATTCAATAGTGTCTGGAACAAATATTCTAGGCCAAGATCGGAATCAGGAATTCAAGCCTAATCCATCAGATCGTAATATAATAAAACGATCAACTCTCACCTCAAGGAAATACAATCCTATAATCCTTCTCAAAACGAACCAACTTTCACAACACATGCTGAGATATAAGGAAGTGTCATTTCGGGAAAACAGAAACCGGACGTCGTCCAGATAATTCCATCAATAGCACAGTGAGCAGAAATGTTCTTCTCTTACTTGCAGAAATCCGACAATTATCCTCAGCAAAGGGATTGTAACGAATCACTTCTAAACAACGAAAATGACATTGCACTGTCCTTATCACTTATTTACATGAAGAAGGATGATAAGAAGCAGACACATGTATCGCTGTGAGACATAAATGATAAGCGAAAGATTCAGTGACGAATACAAAATGTCTAATTGGTTTTTTGATAACGAGAATCCAGTTAATTTTCGGAACTGTGAGAATCATGTAAAGTATCAGAATCGGACCGTAAATAGGCCGTCGTCGTTCCATGTTCTGAATCACAAGTATGAATCTTATAATATCAATAAGTCAGCACACAAAGCACACATAAGCAATCAAAACTCGTGAGAAAATTTGACATTTGACTGACTGAAATTGTGAATAAATAAGAATGCAAAATGTTGTCACGTAGCCTATTGGAGGTAGCGGAATAAAATTATCATTTTAAAAGTATATCCATGCTATTATAAAATAGTCCAAGTCTGCCGTGCAATAACCCATTCGTTTGTTGTGACGGAGCTAATTTTGGACGTACAACGATATGGCGACTGGCACGTGTCATTCTGAATGAATTCAAGTTGCTCGCGGCACGCTTCCAGTTCCTCCATTACCTAAAATGAACGTGAAAGGTGAACTGAAAACAAATAGAAGAGGCTAGCTGACTGCAGCACTTCTCACCATGAGTTATCCAATCTATTCACTCTCGACTGCTAGAGATATGAGTGTAAGTGGCTTTTCAACTAACACTTATTTTGCTGTTTGCTTTCCGGGTCTCTGATACAATTCATAAGGCTTTTTCAACAAACCATCACTTGGGAAGTAAATACTGAATGAAAGTGAATAAAAAGTGATATAAAGCAAATGTTCGGAGCAGGACACACGATACGCGGAATACGAACGCTTTCTCCCATCGTTCAAGCGTCGATAGCGCTTGGATAATTTTTTGGCATTATTGAGGGGAAAAAATTGTCACATATTCTCTCCTACAGCCTGCAACTTCTTCTTGTCGAGTACAAATTCGAAATTCCATCCAAACTCTCAAAATTAATCTCTAACTAAAAACAGTTTTATAAATGAAATGATGCTCGTCGATGCTCATGAAAATTCCTTAATGAATCATTACTTGTAATCAGTGTAAACGGATCTTTCCATGTTTCTTGAAAGCAACATTTTCTCATCATAAAAACCGTTTTATACCTGATTGTTGTCTTACATGTCCCCTTTTTTCTTCCAACAAGCTAATTTAGCCACTCCAATTAAATGATTAATCTTGTATTGCTTACAAATTCTATATAATGGTTTACAACGTTAAAAGGAAATCCCATTCCAGCGCATCAAATACAAAATTCCGAACTAATTCAAACCACCAAATCCGAGACAATCCCAAAAATCCGGCAAATGTCATTGCTATTTTGAAAAATTTAAACTGAAAAACATGGCGCACATGTCTCATGAGTGATGAGCTTCCAGATTTCTGTAGCCAAACAGGGATGCTTCGAGTTTTTATGCCTTTCATTTGGGGATATTAACATATGAATTGCTGGAGCGATAAAAGCTTGAAGTGCTTAGTCATAGTGACCAAATTTGGTAGACAGAATTAGTTAAAGCTCTCGGAATTATTTCTTAGATCAACAACTCTGAGATGTGAAAAACGTGGAACTTTGGATAGAATAGTGTCTTTGTGAAAGTGGATAGAATCCGCATTCTCAAGGCAGAACAGTGTCTGTTTATAAACACTTGAAAAGAAAAATAACGACGGAAACCTGGCTTCCTCTTTGAGGCCATTCGCTTCCGTGCAATATTTTAGCTTCAGGAATCTGTTTGATTACTTTCAACCGGTTTTTCCAGGATTTGTTGCACGGATCAATAAATCGAGAAAGTGCATTGGTTCTCACTGTTGTGTTTGATGACCACAGCTTATCCTTCATGACTCGTCTCAAAAACCAGAAAATGAATTTGAATCGGAAGCGACACTCTATTAAGTGAGAGAATGTCGTGTGCTGCTAGGAGGAGAGGACTTTAATCTGTCCCAATCTTAATGGAATGAGACATTTAAGTCGTCACTTTTCTTTTGTCAACCTCGAGATCATTAAATTCAAGTCCGGAACATTTAAGAATTTCAATAAACCTTAAATGAAAAACAAGAGCAGTTTCAGGTGGCACAACAGTTACAATCTTGCCAGGTTCCGGTTGCAACACCTGATGCACATGTGCACTGTATATGTGTTCCGGAATCATAACTACCTGAAACAATGTTCTGTACTGAGAAAACATGGAAAAAGTAAAAATAGCGAAATGTTTCTGAACGGTAATCCCTCTGACCATGTATCCAACAGATACAGTACAATCAAGAATAATACTATTTTTAAATGAAGTGGAAATTTACTTTGCTCCGAGAACCAGCTGGCCAAACATAATTTTCTAGCGAAATATTTGCAAAATCACTGAAATCAATATCTGTCGGCTTGGAAACATTTGCCCAATGATTCTAAAAATTGAACTCATTAATGGCGCTTTTCAGCCAATAAAAACTATTCAGATTTTACGATGACATCTTTTTGTTTCCCTTCTGAGCCTTTCGTTCCATTTCATCTCATTCTCCCTCCTCAATGATTAGTACGGCATCACTATGAAGTGCAGTTTTTCTCGCAAAATATTGACTGTTAGGAAAAACTCGTTTGATCATTTTTCCATTTTGACAGGAGGTGTATTAATTTAATTACCCACTTGCATTTCATAATACTCCCGAGGAGAACATCATCATCTGTTGTATTGCGATATTTTCAGAAAAATTGTTAAAGCCAAGAAACTGAGGACTCCTTGAAAGCACTAACCTCAAAAAGCGCGAAACTGCTGCGAATGACAAATGCCGCTGATTTTTTAAACTTCGCTTGCAAGCTCTCCAGTAATTTAAGCAAAGATGATTCTTTATTGGTGACTACAATTTCATCGAGATCAGAAGAAATCACATATTTTGCATTTCCACGACTCCGTAAAAGACAGTCGTTAATAGAAGTGGTCACCTATAAAGCAGAGAAATGGACTCAGCAATAAGGCAGCTGTGTCAATAATAGGCCTTACCTTGTCTTTTTATTTATGTGAGTTGTCATTCGAAAAAAGCGCCAATTTAGTGGGATTTTCTGACTCTTCAAAGAAAGCATTTGTCTTTGGTGGGATGAATTCATAATTTGGTAGAGAAGGATGTTTCTCAGATGAATTCACATTTAGCATTAAATGGCAGGAAATGGACGAATTGATAACGAGTTTGTGACAGAACATTTCTTTATTTGTCGAATAGAAGGAGCCGTTGCCGGTTCTATCACCTGCACTTAATTTAGTTAAATTCAACTTGCATCTTTTTAAAGGGACGTGTCTGTGAGTGGTTAAGTCATAGCAGCAGTTCTTTCCGTTATCGTTTTAAGCAATTCAAAACTTCCCAAATAATGTCAGAAAAGTTCAAAAACCAATCGACAAATCCATTCATTGCTGAGAAAATATTCTTTCTCTCAGCAGCAAAAACATCACGTAGTATGTTTGAAATTAAAAAATGTCATACCTCACTCCTGTAAATCCGTAAATTTGGATCGTTTTCATGTGAAGCAGTGTCACCTGTCGGTAGCGGAGCCCAATTAATTCGTTCAATTTCCACGTCCTTTGAATGCTCATAAACACGTAGCAATGCATCAACTTCAGGCGTCATTGACTGCACGTACACGCAAAATTTGGTGACACCTTGCGCAATCCAAATCTATAAATATTCTGTGAAGAGAGTGAATGATATTTCATGTGAACGAAATGATCCATCTGCCCAGTCGAGAAGCTTATGAATTTATGGATTCAAAGCAGCTTTTGCAACATCATCTTCCAATTAGAAGGATCCATTAATTAACTGCTGAACTGTTTAAGAAATAATCATCTTTAACCTGCCTCAAAAAACTGCACAAGTAAGGTCCAGTCGGCTAACAAGAAGATTGGTTGCAAGCAGACAGCAAGGTGATGTTTACGCGGTCGATTCGGCATCACACGCGCTTCCTGCAGTACAACTGGCATTTGTAATGAAGGTCTGTCCATTCGCGATATGTAAGCCTTCGGTAACTTTTTATGGCTTATCATCAAGAATTGATCCAAATCTTTCTGACGCACTGTTATCGCAAAATAGCCAACAAAATCACATCTGAATATGAACTAAATCACTACGATAATGCGACGCTAATTCTAGTTGACACAATACTAAAAGTAATGAGAACAGGAAGAAACTGACTTGGTGGCGTAGAACCATGGACACTTTAGGATTGGCTTATGAATTAGTGGAATAGTTAGGAATTTAGACTGATTTATCTTCAGATGAAAACGGAGCCTAATAATCGTCTTACACTTGCGAATTGTCGTTAATCTTATCATTGAGGAGGAGGTTATGTAGGCTGCCATTACGTATGTCTGCAATTGAGAGAGGAGTTGAAAGGTTGCAGAAAATTTGCTGATATCCAATCCTGCTTACTGACAGACTAATCCAACTTGTGTGTGTGTCTCTATTTCTTGCTTTTCTCGTCGAAACGAGAACCTGTCATTCGCTGATTATGACAGTCGCTATCTCAAATCTCCAATTGGTAAGATGAGATGATGATTTCCATTCCACTGCGGGACAATGATTCATTACCTTGTCATCATAGTTCGAGGACCTTTCCACAGTAGTATTGGGTGTGACAGTAGTAGTGAGGAGTGTGACAGATGAAGGCTTCAGAATAATTCGTTCATTTATGCCCGTAAAAATACGGCTAAATGAGAACATAACCATTGTTGTAAGGCAACTCAGGAAGAGTACAGCAAAGAGACGTTTCAATGCCATGCCTAAAATACCTCTAATTACTGAACTTAATGAATGACCCATATCATAATCAGCCGCAAATTGCAACCATGTTATTCATTTCTCAGCTAAAACACGGCATTCAGGAAGTCATTCCATAGGTGCTAAAGGTCATCCCCACTTTAACAGTCAAATCGTGCACTTGCAAGGCTCATTTTTCCTCATCTAAATGAGTTAAACTCGAAATTCTTATTCAAGAATAACATGATAAGTTTGATTTAATTTCCCTTAATCATCTGAATGAGTTCAAATTCTTTCTTTTCGATATCTCTAAGAAAGTCGCAAAAAGCTTGACATTTCCAAATCGTAGAAACTCCTCAACCAACAAAATTTCAGAAAAAAATTGCATTGCTGAGGCATAATATAAGCTGCGATTAAAAGTTTGATCGACCTTACTATTATACATTAATTACGTCACGAACTTATGGAAAATGGAAATGAGGAGAAATGAAAAAAAGGAAAGAGAGGAGAATATACTTTTGAATTGGCCGGCCACGAATGAAAGAGGTGTAGAAGAATGAATTTAGAAGTGAACTGGAAATCGTCTTTAAATCAGATTGTGGAGAGAATAAAAAACGAAACACGTCAACTGAGAGCAGGTTGGTGAGATGATAAACAGTATGCCTTTTTTCTTTTTATCAATAACCGCACCAGGGCGACTCATCACAATGTCGAACAACCGGGATTTGCAAACGACACGCTCCCGGAGTATAGTTAGGCTTTATTCTGTCTAGCGCGACGTAAATTCCGATAAAAAACCTGTTTCCCGCTGATGGTATTACAAATGCTCACTTAGCCGGAAAGCGCTAATACCAGTAATTTTGTTTAGATCCAAAGTGCTTCATCAGTCTAAAAGAAATAGCTGAATTAGTTTTTAGGAATGTCCATCGCATCTTTGCTCTCGACGTGTTTTATTCCTGTTTGCAGTCCACGCAAGAATTGCGCCTGTACACGCAAACGTTCAGCGGATGGTCTAAAATGAGGTCATATCCAAATGTGATCAATGCGGTCATCAGAAGTGATGAATGGTCATAACAAGTTGCTGATTATTAGCTGAATTATTTAATTTAATTGATTTCTCCTCCTCATAACAATGAAAAGGACAGGAGAATATATGATACATCATCAACTGTTCCTCTTCCTACTAAGTTCATTGAACCGAATTGCATATATCTCGTCATCAACTGTTTGCTGGCGTTGGGGAGAAGTGACCAATTGCGCAATTCTCAGAATAAGCAACCTCAGAGATCTCAGAGACATCATTATCATTATCATTATCATCATCACCATTATCTCTTGTACAAATGACATTCAGTTCTATTCTCACTTTAAAAAAGAATAAAAATTCGTCAAGAGAAAGTCTTTTAAAGAAATGTAATACTAGAGCTATACATAAAATCAAACAATGCTTAACTCATTGGAATTGAAGCTAATCAGTTAAGAAGGAACAGTGAGATGGAGTTTAAGTAAATTACTAATATTGGAGATCATGTTCATTCCTGGAACATTGAAATGAACCACTGATCTCGAATTCTTCTTTTCGGAATTGCATACTGCGATGTTAATTATGGAAATTTCAAGGATAGAGAATTATAGAACAACAGGGCTCTGCCGATACAGCAACGACACTTTCGCAATTCAGAAAGGGTCGTTCGAGAACCATAAAAAACAGTTCAATTCCTCGCGGTGTTGCTAACGTAAGTGCGCGATAGACAAATTTATGATAGCCATTACTTCTTCATTTGTACTTTCTGTTCAATTTTTGTGATGTATTTTAGCGGATATTCTCTCTCTCTCTCCAAGACTGACATATTTCCGATCATGTTAAGGAGAACGTGGAGAGAGCTATTCAAGCTCAAAACTACTGTCTTTGAGAACATTTAGTAGAACTTTGCATTACATTTCAGCTATCAATTAGGCTCTAAAGAATTCTATTTTTAATTGGACAACGAATCGTTTCTGTGGATGACGCAGATGTGAGCTGCCGTTAAATGTCATAAAGGCGCATTAAGCAGTGATTCCTTTTGGACAATGCTGATCCACTTGAAAAAGCTGACGATAAGTTAACTGGTCAAAAGCTCATATTACCAAGCAATATCTTGCACACTTAAAGAATACATTAAACAGATCAGATCGGATCAGATTTTTCTGGAAGGTGACATATGAGAAATGTTTAACCACGTCGATAAACAACATTAATACCTCTTCACAATAGAAACCTGATATCTCGGGAAAAGATTGTACGAATTTGTCTGCGAAGATTTTACCACATCAATATTTAATGCAACAATTTTGGAAGAAATAAGGGAAACACTGCGCTAAAATCAACAGAAATGTATGATTTGAAGAAGTCTTTTTCGAAGACAGTTTCATCAAAAAAGCTTACAGATCAAATTATCCTCTTTCTCGAGGAAGCATTCGACCCCACTAACATGGTGACAGTTGAGATGATGTGCAACAACATCACATCGAAGCGCCGTGAAGAACGGGTCTGCACAGATGGGATGTAAAATGAACAATGCACAATGGGTGAGGGTGCTCTTTTTGCAACGGTTCTCACGCTGTTGGAAAGTACAGTTCAATTTAGAAAATTACTGGCAGTTAAGGAAAGAAAATGTTTCCTCCAACAGTGAACAGAATACAGTTTGAATGCAGTTATTATCAAGTTAGATTGTATCGAGTCAGATGAGATGGTTCTCCAGATCAGATCAACTTGATTCACAATAATTTGGTTCAACTGTCACAATCATTATCAATCAATCAATCAATCAATCAATCAACGCTTAATCGGGAAAGTTCTCGAAGGCAAAGTACAACAATTTCTTCCCGCAGCATAGATATTTTTCGGCCAGCATTCTTCGGCTCACTTCTTTCAGCAATGATTGACAAGTAAGAAATTGTCATTTGCTAACTTCAACAACAAAAAGAGAACTTTTCATTGTCAAGAGGAAGACAAAAGAGTGAAACTGTCCGCACAGTATTTCATTAAATTTGGATAGCATTAGTTGAACAACTTTTTAAGACAATTAAACTGGATAGCAGTTAAGAGCTAAAATAAATGAATCAACGTTTTGGTTATTCTTATTTTCATCCTTGTTTATGTAAGAAAATTTATGGAGATGAAAGGGAAAATTCATTAAAAGGTTTTTTGTTCTCATAAACTTGATTCGTCATTTTCCAACAAAACTCTGAATGTTCCTAACACAAAATGAAAAAATTTTTAAAACTTCAAAAAAGAATTTGTGATGAAATGATTCAAGCCATTCAACTACAATTCATCAAGAACCACTTTCGACTGAAGTTAATGGCACACATTATTGAAATTTGAGTTCTACGAAATCCAAATTGAGCATATTTTGTCTTTCATAACTTTAACCTCTCAAACACCATAACAGTGAGGCTCTCGAAGTTAATGCATAGAAATGTAATGGGTGTAAATTGAATAAAAAGTCAAATTTTAGACATATGGAAGTGAATCGGTGCATCTCGGCCCTCTGCGCTCTTCCTGAAAGCTTCTCTCCGAACGACATTTTCGAGAGACGGGCCGGATAATTTACAAACAAGCACACGGATAATTTATCCTTCTTTTCTGTCCCGATCATGTTCGCTCACGTGTCACAGCAAACGTCTTCCGTCTGTCTTCTACCTCATAGTGACACACGGAATCATCTTATCACCTACCACAATCAAACCTATCATCTCTCACAAAATTTTCTCTTTGAAATTCATCTCCGCTTGACCCTTCTCAATTTTCCTTCCGCATTTCAGCCACATTCTCAAATGAACATTTTAATGTAAGAAGTAAGTTATTTGTCGTAGTGTTTCCTTAAAGTTCTCACGCTACGCCCCCTATAAGGTGGCTCAGAATCCTGTGAATTTCCGTTTTTCTATCTGATCGGAGGGAAATAGTAGTTGATGAATAAATACATTTTGCGAAGTCTTACGAAAGAAATATCGCTATAAGTTGATTTGCCACAATAAGACGATAAAACTCTTTCGGGAAACTCATAAAGAACGCTATAAGAAAGATGCATTGGAACAAATTACCGCGAGTTCTCGGACAGAAACTATGAAGACGTCAACGCAGCAGAGAATTAAACGAGTGTTGGGAGCAAAGAGAACAGCTGACCTTATCCTGACCCCAGCAAAATCATCCATAATGATAGTAGGAGCGATAAGTGTGAGGATTAAGAATGCTTATTTTGATCGTTTTTGGAGAGCGAGAGGGAGAGAAAGAAAGAGAGAGAGAAGGAGCTCAATTTGATGAATTAAATAATATATCTTTCAAATACACTCTCCTCGGTCATCCTTCATTTTGCACATTTCACTTGCTGGAATGTTCTTGAATTACCGCCAAATAATCATTAATACAATTTTGGATTTCTCTCATAAATTTCTTATCCGATAATTGAGAGACTGAACATTTACGCTGCATTGACATGCTTTACCAGTTAGTAATAATAATAATTTACAACAACGATGACAAATAATAATCTTTTCGCTACCTTTATTTCCTTATGTTCCTTAATTCTTTTCTAATTATTATTACGTCAATAATCAAGAGGAAGAGGAGATGAAACCTGTGACCTGAAATATATCTCTGATAACATTATGAATTTATAGACAAAATGAAATAGGAGCAAAATTTTTCAACTACTTCTTAAAAACCTCCCTGTGATTCGCAAGAAAAGTTGCTAGCATTAATATTTATTAAAACTAAGCTTTCAACTGAAATAAAGCAGTGCCGGGTGCGGAAACTCTAAAACTGTATTATAAGATATGGCTTACTGTAACGAATATCTCTGAATTCATCGCTAAATCTTTCCAGCACCGCTATTAATAATTAACAATGCTCACTGGAAGCATCTAATTAATTGAACTGTATCCTAATTTTATTCTTTTCCCTACTTTGACGATCTTCTATTTGGTTATCTCGAGAAATTCATCTTCATCCAATCCTAATTCAATAATGGATCATAAACAACTGCTATTCTTTGACCTTTCAAACATTAGTGCAGAAAGAAATAGAACAACACAAGTTTCTTGCAACTATTTCCGCACAACTTTTGATACTCACGGCTCGACAATTTAAAGATATTAATTTATAAGAGATCCTCACATAATCAATCGAAACTTTCTCTTCATCTCACTCACTTTGTCAACTATCAATTGAGGTCGAACATTGTGATAGATTATCTGAGTGAATTCTGATCAGGAAAAAGTACTGACGAACGGAAGTTCAGAAAAAGAACGACAACCAAAGTGCTGCGGCTTCTCTTCGGCGATGAAAACAAAACAATTAGATTGCTTCAACATTATTGAAGCAGTCTGATTTATGCATGTGTGTGTGTGCAAAGTGGTGTTTTCAGGTATAATTTATAGAATTGTGACAGAGCAATTTTGCTTTCCTTTCAAAATCTTCAAATCAGCAATTCGCCCACGCAAACAGTTCTCTCTCGCTGATTTCTTCATTGCGGAAAATGCCAACAACATAAATTTCGCGCTTTATGAAATTTCTGTACGTTATAAATTTGCATAAAAGAGCGTTTGACCTTTTGGTTGCATGATATGTAAACCAATATAACGTAACTCCTAATGAATTTTTCCCTTTTTGAGGATTAAAATTAAGTTGGAAAACATTAAACTTGTCAAGCATCGCTCTTTGGACCAGAGACAAAATATGCAAATAGGTTGAAGCCATTAAAATACAGGGAGATGAATTGCGACTTGATATCTTTCAGTAAACAATAACAAATCGAGAAGACATTCAAGTTGAAGTAGAACAAGTCGGGAAGACATCCAAATTGAAGTAGAGCAAATCGGAAAGACATTCAAATTGAAGCAGAATAAATCGGGAAAATATTCAAATTGAAGCAGAATAAATCGGGAAGATATTCAAATTGAAGTAGGTATCGGTAATGCAGAACCTTCCTCACTAACCGAATCTTCTGCTTTCAGGCTTTTCTGTTAGATAACTGAATGATTAAATGTGTGGAAATAGATTTGAAGCTTGGAAAAGTTTTGCACAATTGTCACCAAAATATCAGTCACTGCATATGTCATCAATGCGAGCAGCCAAGGTTGCAACTTCGTTTTGAGCTTAATTCGATTACAGTTATTTTGATCATAAAACCTGCAAATGGCAGATTTGCGGATGGTATTATGAACCGAATCTCACCTTTGCAAAGGAACAAAAATGAAGCGGAAGGAAGCGCAGCAGCAGCAGCCAAAGATTCATGTCAATTAACGGCGGTTATCAGGCGGTGTTGGAGTGTGGGAAGCATTTCGTATATCTTTAGGACCGACTCATTAGGAGATAACTGATAGAATGCTTGGAAGTAGGCCATCGATTGACTTCTTCACAGCTTCATCCATCGATTATTTCCTCACCTATTCTACCTAGAAAATTTTTCCACTTCTGAAGCGATCAACGGAAAAATAGGGGAATGTCGCGGGAAGGCGGAAAGAGGGCTCGACCTGCGAGTAATGGTGGAGGAAAGGAAGTGCTGAAGTGAAGGTCAGTCGGTCAATGAAGAGCTTTAAAAGTTGCCAACGAAAGCAGTCACATTCTTGATCTCGACCTCCCTGTCACTGCTATGCACCCACTGCTATGAATAGTTCCAGGGAATGTCCCGATGTGTGAACAGTTACAGTGGGTGAAAACCATCCAAAAGAATAAGAAAGTGCGGTGGCCACAAAAACAACTGCCCGGCGCGCAATCTCTCCATCCTCAGAAAGACTTATCTTTCTTTCTCTCTCCCTCCCTCTCTCTTTCTCCCACTTCATTACACAAACATTAAAGTGCAATCCGATTTCTATAATTCACCACGTCACTCAGAAAAAATTTTTCTCATCCTTTTTTCCGCAGTTGGCAATCCGGTTTCCTGTTCCTTCATTTTCAGAGTGAGTGCACAGATAGTGATTATCCCGTGATTGTTTATCGTTGATATCCCTGGTTCACTTTCGCTCACTCAAATTATTCATACCTTACCTTCTTCGAAAAGGATCAGTTCTCTGTGAGGACGAGATTGGTGACAGATTGCCAACCGAGGAGTCGAGGTGAATGCATGTTAGATGTTTGCTGTGCACCCCACCTGTACTGGCAGTATGGCGTTGAGCATTGCCTTGCGCTTTGGTAATAATGAGGTTGCTGATGACAAACTTAAACAACGATGAGAAAGTCGTGAACTTAAGTATAACAGTGTGCAAAGACACCGTCGATGATGACATTTTTCAAGTGATGTGAGCGACGAAACAAAGGGAACGTCGAATTACTTGCAGGCACGTTGCGAAGGCTTTGAAAGAGAGATCACTGTTACCTGTAATCCATCCTCCATCGTAACTTCATCGTTTCCAGTGACCAGTGCATTGGACAGTGCTATTTGGCTTCATCTGTCTCAGAGAAAACTACATCTCCGACGTTGAACGTGGTCTCGAATCATTTAATGATTGGATAGCATAAAGGAGGCTTACAGCTTCTTCCCCTAGTTAGCGGGAATAGATGATTTTTTTTTCAAAAAAAATGATGGAATAATTCACAAAATTATCCGAATAGATCAAGGTGTGATAAAAGGCGGTCATAATGTTTGGTGACATAAAAGTTTAACTTTAGTACGTGTTTTATTTGTATAGCTCAGAGTGCGGTAATCATTTTTTATATATGCTTAAAAACAGTTTTTTGAGAAATAAATGAGCGTACCTCAATTCGTTGCATAAAAGGTATAACGAAAGGAATATTGCGGACGATGGATAAATTGCGTAACTCACTGACACTTGGAGGGTCTTCAATTGCATTTAGAAGCATATTTCACTTTTTTGAAACAATGCACAAGAGATTTGAGTTTTGACCTTCTCTCTCCTAGCCGAATCACAGAAAGATCGTTTTCATGCACTAATGCATCCGAATCGGTCTTTCACCATTCCTTTGGATTTTAATTTCTGCCCGTATCAAAGTATAAAGTTGTGGTAAGGAATGTTCGCTGTGATTTTTTTTAAAAATTTCAAATTGCGAGCCTAGCAGAAATAAAAATCGACAGGGCAATGAAGTTATACTTCAAATTCAGGATTCAAGCGAGAATGTGTTGTGGATATTCGTGTTTCCCTTTCATTGTTTTCCCATTTCCAAGATGAAAATTACTATTAAATACTAATTGTTTCAGGAACGGATGTGTGTTGGTTTCTGGCCTTGATTGTTCGCAATAATGGTCGCAAGAAAGGAGTTGAAAAGAGTGAAAAGCGCTAAGTGATCCCTCACACAGCTTCGTCAATCAAGCTAGGTTATTAGTTAACTTCTCTTCCGTGACCTGTTGCCATCAGGTCTTCCCAGAAGTGACGTACCGTAGCATAACCGATGGCTGCCACTTCTATCTACATTAGATTAGATTGATTGTCTTTCTCTTCTTACTCCCTCTCAGCCAAATGAATTTGATTCATGGAGAAGTCTTTTTGCAGTTTGTTTTATTTTCTGATCTAACATCGCCATTCTATCACACTGCACAAGCTGGGCTGCTGAAAACTTTTAAAAGAAAGGGAACATTCGCGAACAATTTGAAAGAATTTTCGAAATGGGACTTTGAAAAAATGATTCGTAAATTTGAATATGATTAAATGTCGGTATTTCCCTTACACTTGGTACATTGCAAAACTATTGATAAATGGGCATAATTTGCATCTGACAAATCATATAGTTTATATTTATTACTTACCAATCATATACGTCTCCAACAACTAACGTTGATTGGGAAAATGCTATGCTGTTATAAAAAGTTTGAAAATTTGAAATCACCGCTGGCTGCGAGACAAAACTGAATGACGTGATGTGCAAATGACGTCAAATAATGATAGTGAAAGAAAAATGAAGAATTGGAAAATTCGAGCTGATCTCATGA